ATATAATCATCTAGGGTTAGCTGGAGTGTACAAAAATCTCAAAGAAAGGTGGAAGAGACTGCAGCCAACAAACATGGACCAACATGAACAGCAATTAGCGTCCACGCCGCATGACCTGGACCAACCCCGGACTGAATCAAATTAAAGTTGCCAATTAGCCATTACGCCATTGCGACTGCTCATTATGTCCACTACGATGTGACGCAAATTGCAACTCCCAATTAACGTCCACACCAGATGACTATATAACTGTATCGGCACTTTGAAATGCTAACTGTTCCTTGCGCATTTTTCTCAAGTCTGACGACGATCTGGGGATCCAGTGTCGAAAATTTACTGAATAAAATTACTCATTTTCCCAAAGGACGCCTTTCCTTGAACTTAAATTTCTTGGAATGCCTGCTTTCCAGTTTGTACGAAATAGAATAAAATGTCTGCATAAATGCACGCTCACAAGTGTATGGGTGCGCTGTGAGGACTCTTTGGCCAGTTACATCAAAGTCAAGAATAGCATCGGGTTCATCACTGGTGATTGTTGGTAATGGCGTAACAGTAGACATATACACATTTTATAGTATCTGTTTTGCCAAGATATTTACGTTAGAGCGACAATATGTTATGCGTGGATGCGGAAGACACACCATATTCAGGCGAATGTACGTCAATTTTGGGATAGTTGTTCACTTTGCAGGGTCAAAAAACACAGCTGACTTCGAAGAGGTAAAACGTCTAGTGAAATTTGACAACTATGCAACCTTTACATGTCTCTTTTGCCGGCTCTTTGGGCTACACCCACCAGGATTTGCAAAACCAGGAGATCAGGAGGGGCCGTCGCCGTTTGATAAGTGGTGTGTCAAGGGGACCAAGAGAAGGGTTCGTCGGCCCGGTCAACCACTGCGCCCACCCCACATCAGACATCTATGCGGCTTGGATGGTGGTCTGATGTTGATGGTGGAAAGGAGTATAGTGAATTCGAGGGCTCAGTTCATTTTCATCAACAAACTAAAACGCTTTAATCTATTACGGTGCGCTACAAGTCATGGCTTGTAAGTTTGCCAACTGACGCGATAAGGCGGACTGTGGCCAGCCCAGTGTGTTGTGTTGTGTGGAGTGGCTGACTGGCGAACTAAGAGTCAGGCTGCAATGGCTTTTTCTTTATGGGGCTTTTATAGCACTCCGACGCAGCTGGTATCCGAACCAGGGGTGGCAGCACGCATAGGGGCAGGTTCGGTTGCGCGAGACAGCTGCGCCCGAGTCTAACCTCCAGTTTTCTTGACTCTGTCTTGACGCCGCACACGGATGGGTTAGAAAGAAGAGAGCACGGTAAGTACTACGAAAGTCTACTATCTTTTAAGACTAACTCACACAAAATTCAGCAATTATACCCAGGTAAGCATTCAGGAAGTCAAGTTAGGCGAACAAACGTTTTCGGTTAATTCATCCTCAGGCAATAGAATAAGATAAGGGAGGGTAGATTTAACGAAAGTTTAAGCAACCAATCAGTAATAATTTGGGGGAAAGGGGGAGAGGTGTAAGGGGATCAAAGGGGTCAGATTCTAGTCTTAATTTGGGACCAGATACGGAAAAGGGTGGGGAAGGAGGGAAGTGAACGGTCCCGACAATTATTTCATGTCGTCCCGTCGTCCTTGGCTCGCGTTTTGTTGGGAGGCGTGACGAGTAAAATTAACCGTCCCATACACCAACTTTATGGAGCAAACAGCGGACAAAGTGCAAAACCGATGGCCGAACGCTCAGTTCTTTGGCTCTCAAATGAAGAGCGAACATGAACACTTAACATTTGTAAATTCATTAGTCAGGCAATAAAATCTGCCTCAATTCGTGAAAATCTGCCTGGTCGTACCACACTAAGAGTGCGATTTTCCGAGTCAATATCATTACAGTGCGAAGCCCTATGGACGCAACTTAGATTATGAACTACTTAGGTTTATGTAACTAAGCCGTGCGGGAATCAAACATCAACATCTGGCTTAAAAAGGGGTACAAAGTCTGTGGTTGTATTATAAGTTAATTATGCGCGACTTCGTAAACGTCGCAATCCTCATCAATTATCATCTACGATTGTGGATTTGCGTGTCAGTCCCAAGCAACCGTTAAATCAACTTCCTGCTGTAGCCGGTGCACAACCTAAGTGCTCAATTAGATCAGTCACTATAATGTCGGTTGTATGACAAAAGTTCTGCGTAAGAACTTTATGCAGTAAATAATATACAATTTGCTCCGTAAATATTACCTCCACTGGCGATACTACCGAAACTAATTTCTTTGATATGTATTTCGCTTATTATGTTTTTTAGCCTTCAAAAATACACGTTGTCAACCCATTGTCAGTGGTAATTTGTATTTAAAACTGAATTCCTGAATGGAAGACCTATGATGAATTGACGTCGCTCGATTGCCCGCTCATATCGAAGCCAATGTGTTGTGGTTGTTGAGGGAAGAAAATAAGGCAGTCTGATTTATTAAGTGGGCGCTTGTAATGGAGACGGTGCCCTTACCCACACAGTAAAGATGAAACGTGACATTTGACCCAGTTTTGATACAGCCTGCGTACATAATGGTATTAAAACCAAGACAACACGGGCAGGCTTAAGTAAAACCATGCCCTGATCATATACACTAAGAACTCCATACCGGGAGCCGTCAGTTTAATCACATTTTGCTAGATTAGCTGCGCAGCCTACTACAACGTAAAGAATACACAAATTTTATATGGAACGTTGACCGCCCAATCAGCGTTTTGCAAAAAAAAGCAATGTAAAACCCACTACATGCTTACCAGGCTAAGTTTATTAGTAGGGGGTTTAGGCAGATTTTGAATAACTCAATTGAGCCAGTTATAAAAGAATCGACGGCCTTAGTAGGATTCGAACCCATGCCAACACATGGACGGCTTTAGTACTGCCACTTCTCCAGTCCAGTGGACTACGAGACCCCCAACGGGGTCGTGAGTTTGATAAAACTTGAGCAAATTTACACGCGCAGCCTATTACGTGTGGAATTTACTAAATATGATCCAGCAAGCTGAATTAGTCAGCATTATTTCCCAAACAGCTTAAAGTTGAACCTAGCAAAATGGATTTTAGACGCATCTAGTCAATAAATGCTTTTTGGCAAATCAACTATTTCTAATGCTCCTACCATTGTCCCCTTGACGGTTTTTTATGTATAGTAGTAAGTGTACTGCTGCGCGTGTCGAAATAGTCAGTGATAGCAAAACTGTTGCTATGATTGCCGCTTTTGCAATCCCTTAACCAGGTCGTGGATATTTTCAGACAGTCAGTTCGTGCAAGGAAGAGGAAAAGGTGGGTAAAGTCAATTCTGTGGAATCCATTTCCATGGCAGGTATCGTTATAAAAAAGTTCACGCATATTCATCTATAACGACACCTCGTGGATGCTGAAATGATAATCAATGCTACCTTTTCAAGTATATAGGTTACCTTTTTTAAATTCTAGCATGGTCTTTCCTTTTGTTGAAAACTTACTCGTTCGCCGCCTCGTTGAACTCCTTCTCCTGGAGTTCCTTGGTAGCATTATCGAGAAAGTCCTGCAGATTGTCCTCCTCTGCTCCCTGCATGGGTTTGGCAACAAAGGAAGCCACTTTCAAACTTTCTGGGTAGGTCGCTTCATCCAATAGAACAGCCCTGTAACTAACATCCAAGTTGAAGTCTAGAATCTCTGAGCACTCGAAGTCCTCGTAGTCGTCACCGAAGGGGTTCATCACGCACAAGGCAACCTAGTTATTAAAAGAGGCCGAACAAGGCTTAATGCAAAGTCGACACGTATCTGGACATTATAAAAGACAGGTACAAATTGAGGAAACACAAGAAAGATACACACACGGATGCTCAGGATGCTATGAATTCTTCTCCCAACCGGTAATATGACAATAGAATTATCTCAAACAACCAGTCATGGAGACGACTTCCCTAAAGTTCTTCAGGAAACGCGTGGATAATTATAGTTTCCCGTTGTAATCAATGGAAAATCAGACCCTAAACTAATACCGTGCCATCTCCACAGGTAAGAGTTATTTGTAAAAGATGAGATACTTGGTTTTTATGAATATTGATTATATTTAGGAGCGCATGTACAGATGTATATGAAGCCCCAGAATGTAAACAAAAGCGTTTACAAAGGCACTGTATTTTGCCCTCATCAAATGAGCTAAAATGAACTGAAAACTGCATTTTACCATAAATTTCAATAGCAGGCCTCTACGTCGTTTTCTATCACAAAACGGGCATAGCTATGTTTACAGATGCTAAACAAAAGTAAAGCTACAAACGAGACACTCACCTTTAGCCAGCCCATGAGGAACAGAAAGTAAAAGATGCCAAAAATGGGAACTGCTATAATGTTCGTTTGAATGCTACCGTGGACGGTGTCATTTCTTTCTACATATTGTGTTCCGACTATCTGACAGAGGAAGTAACTGTAGACAGAAATGACTGCGACCTAAACGAACAAAAAGAAATGAAACACTGGGTAGCCAACTAGGAAACGAATAATATATACCTTTTCAGATAACACCTACGTAAAGAAATTAATTTCGACGAAAATAAGCAACAATTTAAAATCAAGTTTATCTAACAAAAATCACACAGAAAATGCTAGAGGACACATCGGTATACCAACCCCCTCGTAATTGTGCCTCACTGCGGCAAACAATCGGCGAAACACTGTCTGAGATTTTAGATATAACACATGTTGTCAGCATGGTAAATAATTATTTTAATTAGATTTATGACTGCCTAATGGCAGCTCGTCTGATGGTCTTCAGATGATAAAATCATGGGATATCTGGTCGTGCAGTTGGAAACATTGGAATCGAGTTCTGAATAGCGATGACTGCTGACCAAAAATCTGCGGCAACGTGTCCGCAAAATTGATGTCGTATGAGTTCTATGAAAGAACAAAGTAGGCAAACGGTTTGTGCTCGGCAGGACCCAGTTTGTATAGTAAAAGGCGTATATTTCATGCGTCGTACTCGGCAGCCAGATCGACCGAGAACAACTTCTCGTATTATTTGTACTAGGAATCAAAATTAATGTGAGCCTGCGGGTCATACAGGAGTTCAGCGATGCTGCAAATGATTTAATGGACGCATTGTGAACAACCAGCAGTACTCGAATGTAAATGAATGAATTCGAAAACTTAACGGTGAGTTCTTCCATCAGCTTGGGCTGTTGGTGCAAAATTTGCCTGAAGTGAGCCTACGCATCAGCCATCGTATGTGAGAAACTGCTTCATCGACTTGTTATGACACATGCCTGGTACTTGTAGTTAATACGAACTGTGGATTTGCCCGAACGTTTTTAGCAAAGCCAGCAAGGGTGAAGAAGAGAAGTCAATCGAACAAGAAGAGGGCTGTTTGAAAAATAGCGAATCATCTTCACACGTATTTATTCGTTCGCTTGATAAGAAAATGTTGGACAACATATCACAGAAATGACCACATTAGATCTGACGAGAAATCTGTGGCCTCGGCCAATGCGCACACTGTCGTGACAGGCAGTGTAGCTGCTCACGCAGGTACCTTTTTATGAGCTTACAGTTCGAACATATTTTCAAGGAAATCATTAGCTACGGATTATTCGTACACAGGCCATTGCAGTATTAATAGGATGCAGCCACTGTGCTACTGCATGCCTATGACAACTGAAGGCCGCCTATTCACTGAGGATGCCCGACCTGTATTGCGCTAATTGTTTGGTGGCCGGTTTGCGGGTCGTAATTTACTGAAATTCGATCAGCCCCTCTTG